TGTTCTCTCGGGACCTGCATAACTTTCCTGAGGTGGCCTGCATGTTCCTTGGCATCTTTGCTGAACACCAGAATGTCATCCAGGTACACAACAACAAAGCGGTAAAGGAAGGGTCTGAAAATCCTATCCATTTCAGTCTTGAATGTCCCCGGTGCATTGCACAGACCAAAAGGCATGACCAGGAACTCGTAAGTGGCATACCGGATCTTAAAGGTTGTCTTGTGTACATCCTCTTCAGCCATTTTGATCTCATAATACCCGGATTTTCAGATCAATTTTGCTGAAGACTTTGCAGCCTTGCACCATATCCAACAAGTCATCAATCATAGGCAAGGGCTCAAAGTTCTTTTTAGTGATCTTGTTTAGGCCTCTATAGTCAATGCACATCCTGAGCTCACCATTTCCTTTTGTAACCAAGAGAGTTGGTACCCCATACTCAAATGAGCTAGGCCTGATCCACCCTTTCTCAATTATGGACTCAAGTTGTTTCCTTAACTCATCCAATTCAGCAGGGGACATTCTGTAGACTCTTCCTTCAGTAGGTGTAGAGTTGGGAAAAATATGAATGTGGTGCTTGGTCTGCCTATGGACAAGTCCAGTAGGCTCCTGAGCCAAATCAAAAAACTCATCAACCACTTGTTGAATAGGTAGGTCAATTTGAGAAGAGGATGAGACTGAATCTGTTTGAGTGACATACGCCACAAACAGATTCTCATGGTCAGTCTCCTTAGACAAGTTGTAAAACTCCCTGGCTTTCAAGCAGTAACAACTTGTCTTAGGATGGTGATCAGTAGCTAAGACACATTGTCTTAGCTCCCCCTGTGGGCTATTCAATTGGATATTGGGCAGAGCCCAGTCAATGGAAGGGTTAATGGCCCTCAGCCACTTCATACTCAGGACCAGATCAAAAGGATGATGGGGGAAAACACAAAAGTTCAAGGACTGTCTGATTTCCCCTCTGTCATCAACGGGAACTCGCACAGCCTTAATGACCTGCTTGACTGAGACATACTGGGAATTGCCCACCTGAATCTCCAAAGGGTGCTCAAGGTCGGTAACCTTGAGACCCAAATGAAGTTTTTGAACTCCATTCTAAGAGATGAAGTTCCTTGTTGGCCCACAGTCAAGCAAGGTTTTGATTCCGGTTCTGTTAATTTGGGGTTTGGGCATGATCGGTTCTGATCTCCTCTTTCTGTTCTCTTTTAGTTAGAGATGACAAGAGCAGAGCTGGTCAAGTTCCTTCTCAGAAGGGGGCTCATCAATAAAGGGCTCAATGTATGAATACATTGTCCCCTACAACCTCAAAAAAATTAGGCTCAGCAGATGATTCATCCCTTGATAGAGATGGATTCAGTTCAGCAGGACTGGCTGCAGTCCCTGCTGGCCTGTCTAGTTTTTGAGTGGCTGCAATTGTTGTGGTTCAGCTTGGGGCAAGCCTTGACATAGTGGTTGCCCTCACACCTCAGACAGACTCCCCTGTCCTTCCTCTTCTGCCAGACACCCTCTGGGATTCTCATCTCTCTCCAAGGCAAAGAGGAAGCATCCATGGGACCGACTGGACATTTGGCAAACTTTGGGAGGTTCTGCTGTTGAGGAACACTTCGCCCGCCTGGGTTGTCCATGGAGTGGTATTCCCAATCCCAAGTCACCCACTCCCTAGTGTTTAAGGCTCCTTTTATCCATTTTTGACTTTTTTTTTTTGCTGTTGGTTTATTTGGTGTCCACTCTATGGACTGGTGACAAGTCTGGCTTTAAAAGTGTGGGGCGTTTGTTATAATGACCCTGAAAAAGGTGTGGGGCAATTGTTATAATGACCTTGAGGAAGGTGGGCCAAACGGTCAGCAGAATCGTCTAAACACGCTGAACTCAGGCAGTTGTCTGCCTCCCCAGCCTCAGAAGAGTCAAGGTTATCAAGGATGAGTAATACAGACCTTCGTACCATGATTACATCTACAGGCCCTGGAGTCCAGCCCGGCAGAATGGGCTTGGGAACTCACCTCCAGCAACTTGGATCGCCCGCCATATCAACATATTGGACTACTCCACACGATTGGGATACAAGCTGAGACGAAGATCAGCTGATACCCATGACGTACTTCTTCAGCATTAGGAGCGCACCATGTCAGGGAGCCAGAGCCGATTGACCAGAATTCCCTGGCTAGCAGTGCTGACCATCCGCGACACAAGGGTCAGAAGTATGCAATGGCTCCTGACCTGCCAAGCCCTCCCGGTCAACAAGCGGTGAAGTAAGAGAAGGGCACAGGCCAATAGACACGACGTCGATCAATGTTGCTCGATCTGTGACATGGGAGTGCCTGAAGACATTGTCGACTGGATGCTGAATTGCGCCAAAGCCCAACGATTGTGGCACTGCGTTGAAGAGCTATGGAGCCAAATCACTGGCACGCAGCTCACATAAGATGTTCTGGCCTGTCTTACCAGATTCATACAACCATGAGGTATGGAAAAGTGGGCGCAGAAGTTCTACAGGCGGTTAAGACCCCTGCTGCTTTGGGCCGTCTGGAAACGAAGATGCAATTTGAAAGAGACTATTGACGCGCAAGAAGTTCCGCGGGGGCAGGCCTGGTACGACTTCCAACAGGCCTTGAACACAAAATATCAGGCGGACTGGGGCAAAGTCAGATGACAAATGAAGCAAGAGCCAGAGAAGAGGCAGGAGATAGTTTACAAATTCATGAAAGAGACGTTGGGCAATGGGAAGGGGAACCTGCTCAAGCGCGACTGGCACTCACAGGTACGAGAAGAACAAACCATGAGTTTGTTTGGGGAGGTAGGGATCTGGCGGCCGTGGGGGTGAGCCTAGCCTCAGATTAGTGGGGGTTGGGTTCGCTGTGAGGGATCAGCTCTGGTTTCCATGGGGCATGGGGTCGGCCTACTGATAATCAGCCGGGGCAAGCACAGGGAGGGACCAGACTTATACAGACCGCTCCGTTAAGTCCAAACAGGGGAGCGATGGATCATTAAGGGGCACAGGGAGCAAAGGTCAATGGCGAACGACAGACAGGGGAGGCAAGGTTAATCCTCCTGTCATGGAACAATCAATACCACAGGCACCCGGGAAAGGACCAATGCTGGAGTTCAAAGGGCAGTCAAGGGTTTAGGGTTTTAGCAATAGTAGTGTGAACTGCCAGGGTGGGCCACCCCAAGGCTTGGTCTTAAACCACCAGTACCCTTCCCAGCCAAACTTTTGTTGCCTCCTGAATTCATGGAGGACGTGGGCAGGCCTGGTAGAGGCTCGGTACAGCCTCGACTCATGCGTGGTGGTCGCTTGTTTTGAAAACGGAAACGGGCGACCAGAGAACCAAAAAAAAAAAAAAAAAAAAAAAAAAAAAAAAAAAAAAAAAAAGAGAAAACGAAAGAAAATTTCTCCCTCTGAAAACGGCGCGAGCAGGGGGCTGTTCCTCTCCGAGTGGCGCAAGTTCTGGAAACAGAGACGCTCACTCAGTGTACAAGAAAAGAAAAAACAAAAGGCAGATACAGCGCTGCGCTGATGCCTCATCCTACACGGTCAGATTCGCTTGGGACCTAGATGCCCATCTATGAACATGGAAATATAGGGCCTCGCTGCACGACTCTCGAAATGTGCAAAACGAGAGTGAATCTTTCGCTACAACACAGAAAGATACACTGCCATGATTTTTGTCTTTTGTGCATGTCGAGAGACTGGAGTGAGGCCCATGCTGAAGCTTTGTGGCCCCTTTTTTTTTTTTTTTGTTGAAAATCGAGAAATTGTCCAAGAAAAAGGGAAAAAATAAAAGAAAGATCCGCTGCCACAATTTTTGTCTTTTGCGGTTGCTGCTGACAGTGCTGAGTGTTGGAGCGTTCATCCTACGAGATTTGCAATGGCCCACGCTGAACTTGTTTCCAGATTACCAAAATGGGAATGAATTTTATGCTGGAACATGGAAGGATACAGAGAAGATCAGCATGGCCCTGCTGAAGAATGACGACTTCTGGCAATAGAGCCATTCACGGCTCTCTGACTACGAGCCCGCCATCCATGCCTTCGCCTGCTCCTCTGGCAGGAGCAGCCACCCGATGGGGAAAAAGAAAACGTAGGACAGAAAAAGGAAGAAGGGAAAAAAGGGAAAAAAAACAAGGGAGGGGAAAAAAACGAAATAAACAGCACAGAAGTACCGGTCGCCAGCATGGAAGGACCGGTCAGCCCCATATCACGACCACTTGCAAGCTGCATTCCCATACGATGAAGAGGTTCAGTAGCTTGCCAACAACAAGGTTCGGGAAGTCTGCTTCGGGGGTACTGGTGGTTTAAAGAATGTTTGTTCAGGGTAGGACGACAGGGGGCGGAGAATTGTTGAAAGGCATGGGCTTAACTCACAGCCAATCCTTCCTAAGGGAAGAAATCAATGTTGTCAGGTTCTCTGGGCCGTAATGTGGGGAAGCATGTGTGAGAGTTGTATACATGTTACTGGACTTGCTGGTGGAACAAGAACTGGACTGCCGCTCCCCACTTATGAGGTTTGTTCTGGTTTGAAAAAAAAAAAAAAAAAAGGTTTCCACCTTTCCATGCAGTCATAACGGGCATTGAGTCACTCTGAATTGAGGCACGGCTGGTGAGGAATTTTACTTCCTAGTTGTGAGGTGCCAGAACTCAGGAGCAGGAGAAGGCACAAGAAAGGGGTTCTAGCACAGGCTTTACAACAACTCTTCATGTATTCATCCTTGATCCTTGGACCTTCCAAGGTTGTGGGTGCAGCCAGCTGTGAGTGAAAAGCAGAGGTTCAAACCAGACTATCAACTTCCCAAAACACCACCGGACCCTGTTTCCTTTACATTGGTCTGTGAGTAAATGATCAATTTATTGAAACGTCATAATGATCAATTAATAAGACATGGGGATGGGCCCGTGAGCGGGACAGTTGGGGAGGTTGGGTGGTTTGGAAGGAGTAGAAACCTTTTTTTTTTTTTCTTGGCTTTTCCATGTTTCACTAGCCTGTAGCTTTTTATCATTCACTTACTTGAACAGCTTGATAATCTCTTTTGCCTCTTCAATCTCGGTTATCATCTTGTTTAGTTGCCTAAGCTTCTCCATTGGCTCTTGGATTCTAGCAACAAGACCTCGCACCCAGTAAACTGCACCACTGCAAGACACCGACAAAGACAACTCGACTCACTGAGTGATCAGAATAAAGACATTTAAACAAGTGTAAGCGTTTAGGATGACCTTGTCTCTCTCTACCCTTTCATGAATAAGTATCAGCAGTGTGATTCCAATGAGCATTCAACATACGTCAGACTGAGGAGCGGACGATTTCGTCTCTATACCCTTCCACGAATAAGTATCAGCAGCGGGGCATCATTCTTGATCCGCCTGACCCACCAAGGTTTGATCTCATCGTCGGATGGGCAGTTGATCTCTAAGAGGTACTTAGCAACCTATTTCACAATTTGAGTAATGTAATGACCCACCAAAACACAGATTGAGAACACTGCTGATTTCTGGGTTTTGCTGCTGGAATGTATGCCGCATCGTGCTGAGTTTTCTAAGTCTGTGTGTGTGCACGTGCTTGCTGGTCCGTGTGCCTGTCTGAGTGCACCTGTGCCTGAGTGTGTGCGTGACCTGAAAGGGCACTTGTGTGTGGTGAGGCCCGCAGGGCCGGTACTTACCCGTGGCCGTGACTTTGAGGGTTGCAGCGGGAAAAACACTCAAGTAGCGGGGAGTAGGCCCGCGACACTTAGGGCAGCAGGAGAAAAACACTCAAGTAGCAGGTACATCGGTACCACTCGAGTGGCGGTAGATCTGCCGGGAACTGGAGTCCAAGCAGAAGGCGACAAAAAGTTGGCATTTTTAGAGGCCCAGTTGCGGTAGGCTAGAGGTAGGCGGGTATCGTCCCCAGGCTTCTGCTAGAGCTTGGCATTCCCTGACAACCGTTCTCAAACGCTAAGTTCGAACAAGCCTGAGGGCCTGCTGGAAGCCACAAACTCGTTAATTACGGTGAAGGCTCAGAGTGCTCAATAGGAGTAAAAGGAAGAACGGGGAGGGGATTCAAGGAAGTCAATACAGGACCTGTACCACAACGCAGAAATCAACAAGCAGGCGCAGAATCCAGGATTCAATTCTGCTATTCGTCATCTGCTTTGCATCCTTGGCAAGATAGAAAGCATGAAGATTAGTTATTACTAGGCATTGAGATATTAACCTGTGTCTAGTCCTCTCTAAAAGGAAAGAAACCACGAGAGGTCCTAGACTAATCAGTACATGATGGCAGGAAAAGTTTGGAAAACGTAAAAATTCACAAAAAAACTAAGCTGGTCCCCAGGTGGCCTGGCTGGGTGAAGGTCGCCCAGGTACCCCCTGGAGGCGGGCAGCCCATACCCAGGCAGTCCCAGCGCATAATATTAAAAAAAATTAGAACACGAAAAATTTTCGAAAAAGAAAATCTGTTGTGTAAATTGCAATTCAAATTTCAAACAACTTTTGGGCATTTTGGCTGAGTGCAAGGAATATGAGCGAGAGCGATAGACAGAAAACCAAGTTGCAAAATCACGAATTAGTCCAGATAGTCATGTACCAAGCAGAGAGCACAATGGACCAAGATACCATCCAAATAAGAGCAACATAATGAACTTGAGTGCCAATGCCGACGCTCTCTGGTCACACCAACACTGTATCCAATGTCGCTCCGACTGTCTGGCGCCCACGCCCAGCCTACACTACTCAGCCTATCTTTCCTATCTACGTTCATGCGACTGGATCACATCGAAGTCGAAGACCACTGTACGTGACCTCAACACCAATGCCGACCACCAGCATACACCAGGTACGTTCTCTCTCCTCCCCTCATCACCCCTTGGTTCCCCTCTGCATGCGCCTCCTACCCGAAGACCACCATCGCCATCACCTGCCTGCGCCCCTGCAGCCTGGCTATGGCTGCTGTGCGCCCGCTGCCTCAGCAGCGTCACTCACCTCAGCGCCCGTGCGCACGTCCGACCAGCAGCGCACATGCAAACACTAGCCAAGGCCAGAATGAGCCTGCCTGAGAGAGGCACTTTCCTTTACAAAAAGTGCAGCCCTGTGTCCGGATGCGTGGGTCTGGCCTGGGAAGTTTTCAGTAGCTTCCAGTCAGGCCCCAGTGTCTGCGCCCAGGCCCACCTCTGCTGTTACGGGCCTCGGCACTTTTCAGTTGGGCACCTCCAGACAGCCATCCAGCCTCCCAAGTGTTTGCCGCATTCTCACTGGCTCGTGGAGGTTGTGTGACGACAATGCTGCTTTCTCATTCGTCCGCGGGGACTGCATGATGTGTCGGTCTCCCACTATGTGTACCCATTGCGCAACCAACCGGGGCCCTGGGCTCAACTGTGCAGCGCAGCTGTTGTTTCTGGAAGGAGCCAGCAGAGGCTCATGCTGCTTTGTAACCAACTGGCGTGCTGCAACTGTCTGATACCCCACATATGGAAAAATATCGAAAAGGGGCTTCACATAGAGATTCAGGCCCGCCTTCACTTAGGGCGGGCACAATCTTTGCTGTGGGCCACGGCCAAGAACACTTGCATGTCCGTGAGGGCCCTGTGAGGGCAGCTGTTGTTTCTGGAAGGAGCCAGCAGAGGCTAACGTTGCTTTGTAACCAACTGGCATGCTGCAACTGTCTGATACCCCACATATGGAAAAATGTCGAAAATGGGCTTCACATAAAGATTCAGGCCCGCCTTCACTTAGGGCGGGCACAATCTTTGCTGGGGGACACGGCCAAGAACACTTGCATGTCTGTGAGGGCCCTGTGAGGGCTCATTCCTCGTGTGAGGATCCCCCCGAAATTCCTTATTTATTTATTTATTATTATAATATTATTATTATTTTTACCGTTTAAATTTTTTCTTTTTAACATTCCAAAGATAGATCGAGGCCGGGGACCTTGCATGAGGATCCCCCTGGATCTGTCTCTTATACACATCTAGATGTGTATAAGAGACAGGCCTAAGGCTACCAAACAGAGACTACTAGTGACAGACTCAGGGATCAAGTCCCATAGGGCGCAGCACTTACAAACAAAACACACGAGTTACAGGTCACGGGATCAAGTCCAGCAAAGCTTAAAACAAAGAAACAGCAAGTAAACGAACTACACAGCCGAACACTTAGTGCACAGACCGACCGGGAAACTGTGATTTATTGCACTATAGACTCTTCCTTTGAGAACGGTGGAGTCAGGGAGGATCTCAATGCGATGCTTGAACTGCCTATGGCCTAGTCTAGTAGGCTTTTAAGCCAAGTCAGCATACTCATCAACGACCTGTTGTATAACTGGGTCACACTGAGGGGTGGACTCGTCAGTCTGAGTGATGTACGCCACAAACAGATTTTCATGCTTAGTTTGTTAACTTTGTTTAGACAAGTTATTGTCTTAGCCTCACGACCCTCACCTTTGGAGTTCTAAATTGGATCACAGGCGCAGTCCAGTCGATAGCGAGGTTAGTGGCTCTTAGCCATTTGAGACTCGGGACCATGTCAAAGGGTGAGTGTGGCAACATAAAAGTTCAGAATATGCTTAACAGGCCATATACCTTGCCGTAACTCCCAAAGAGTTTTGTTTCTATAAAGTACCTTACGATATAAATCATTTAAATCAGAGGTTGCTAATGGACCATCATTAAGATGCATCATTGGTCTTAGATCAGGTGGGAGTACAGGAATCATAGAAAGAACCATCCATTAAGGCTTTATCTTAGTTTGTTGAACATAACTCACTATTTTAATACGACGTACTAACCTTTCTTTTTCTCTTTGGGCCTTTTGAGCTTCTTTTTCGTCAAGAGGGTCAAAATAAGCTAACTCTTTGCATGCTTTGCGACTTTCATCTATAGTATTTTGAAGATTTACTTCACTTAATCTTTTTATAGCATACTCTGAACTTTTGTGTTGACACACTTACCCTTTGACATGGTCATGAGTCTCAAGTGGCTAAGGGTCACTAACCCTGCTATCGACTAGACTGCGCCTGTGATCCAATTGAGAACTCCAAAGGTGAGGCTAAGACAATAACTTGTCTGAACAAACTAAGCATGAAAGTTTGTTTGTGGCGTACATCACTTAGACTAACGAGTCAACCCCTCAGTGTGACCCAGTTATACAACAGGTCATTGATGAGTATGCTGACTTGGCCCAAAAGCCTACTAATTTAGTCCATAGGCAGACCAAGTATCACATTGAGATCCTCCGTGACTCTACCATTCTCAAAGGAAGATTCTATAGGATGTCCCCTGCTGAACTGGATGGACTAAGGAAACGGTTAGAGACACTAACTGAGAAGGGTTGGATCCGGACTGGCTCATTTGAGTTTGGGGCACCAGTCCTCTTTGTTCCAAAAGGGAATGAAGAACCTAGAATGTGCATAGACTATAGAGTACCTAGGATCGATGACCTCTTGGACATCGAGCAAGGCTGCAAAGCCTTCAGCAAAGTCGATTTCAAGTCTCGGTATCATCAGATCGAAATGGCTGAATAGGATGTCCATAAGACAACCTTCAAGACCAGGTATGGTATTCACAAGTATCTGATCATGCCTTTGGACTTTGCAATGCACCCGGAACCTTCCAAACTGAAACGAACTGAATTTGCAAGCCCTTCCTTGGTCGATTCGTGATTATCTACGTGGACGACATCCTTGTATTCAGCAGTCAAGGAGCATGTGAAACACTTAAAGAACAAGTCTTGAGAGACCATAAGTATAAGATCAACAAAGAGAAGTCAACCTTTGGGTCAAGAGGTCTGAGTTCTCAAAAGATGTGGATATTTCTTGCAAGTTGCTGCCCTAATATTATGTTCCATGGCAGGTTCTGGATACAGTAGGAGTACATGATGTTCCACCCCATCTGTTGTCTCTCGTACATTGAAGTTGTTGCCGTTTACACCTTCTAAAGCATTTCCAGATAGGCCTCCTCGATTTGGTCCATCGATCCCGGGGAAGGGATACAAAGTGCAACAAATTGAGGCCCAGTGGGGTAACAGGTGGTTCACGCGAAAGGAACTTCTCAAGACAGCCAAGTCCACTGTACTAGCTTATGAGGCAAAGCAGAAGGGTCTGTTACCCCGCCGCTCACCTCGTGGCCACTATCAGCTCGGAGGTCCTCACTCCCCGAGAGA